TCATCTTCAGTTTCTCATCCACTGTAACCCCCAGGACCTTTTCTGCAGAACTACTACTTAGCCAGTTGGTCCGCAGCCTGTAACGATGCTTGGGATTCTTCTGTCCCAAGTGCAGGACTCTACACTTTTCCTTGTTGAACCTCATCAGATTTCTTTTGGCCCAATCACCTAATCTGTCCAGGTCAATCTGGACCCTATCCCTGCTCTCCAATGTATCTACCTCTCCCCGTAGCTTAGTATCATCTGCAAACTTGCTGCGGATGCAATCCATCCCCTCATCCAGGTCATTAATAAAAATGTTGAACAAAACCGGCCCTAGAACCAAACCTTGGGGCACTCCACTAGAAACCAACTGCCAACCTGACATCAAGCCATTAATCACTATCTGTTGGTCATGAAGAAGCCTTAGGACATTAATACATTTTGGAGAGTAGCCAAATTTGGGCAGCACCTTCAGGAGGGCTTTGCAACTGACAGTGTCAAAGGCCTTTGTGAAATTGAAGAAGGCCATGTACAGGTCTTGAGTTTGCTCTTGAGACTTTTTCTGGATTTGGCAGGTAATGTGGATCATGTCAGTCACCAGGATGGATGATCTAAAACTGCACAGAAATTTCTGCAATATTTCCTCAGCAAGGGGAAGAAATTAGTTTAAGAGGATATAGGCAAAAATTTTCCCTGCTATAGATAGTAAGGCAATGCCTCGATAATTTCCATCCTTCATCTCATCTTCTTTCTTAAAGATCGTAATGATTTTGGCATGTCTCAAGTCTTCTGAAATCCTCTCATTATTCCAGAAATGAAGAAAAAGTTATGATGCTTCCTTTTGGTTCTTCACCTCTAAACTTGTGGACTTGAGCTTGTATGCTATCTGGCCCTTCTGCCTTGTTCTTGGTTTGCATGATAGCTTATGTACTTCTTCGAGAGCAAGGAGGCCAGCAACATATTATCTTTTATGTTGCTAAGGTATAGATTTAATAGTAGCATAAGAGACACGTGTCTCTTGGTTCAGGAGTAACTTGAAATACTCCTTCCTTCTGACTTTTATGACTTTACTGTCCTTAAAATACATTGACATGTCTGGGGCTTGGAGTGGTGTGGGACCATGGGAACATGGACCATAAAAGGTCCCTATTGGCTGAAAAAAGCTCTTTGTCACATTTATCAGTGTAAAGCTCAGTCACCATTTATTTTGAAGACATAGATTTTCCTTTTAGACTTCATCTTTGAGTTGCTTGTATAACTCTTTCTTCTGCTGGTGTAAAATGTCATTTTGCCACATTCAATGAGCTCTTCTTTTCTGGTTTAGCAGGCCCTGAATCTCAACATCATATTCATCAAACCAGTCTTGGTAACCATAGCCAATGGCTTTAGCACATGCCAAGAGAATATATAAAACTACCTGGAGATATCCTCGCTTTAGGCATTGTCACCGTAACTATGTCATTGTCAGAGCGTAAGATCAGAAGCATGTCTGCATCATGAGGGCCATGTATGCAACACCAGATCACCTCAAGCAGGTAAAATCGTATGGAAGAAATTCAGTGTCAAGTTCCTTCATGATATAGTGTCTGAGGGGAACTCTAGCAGTGTTTCCAAGAGAGGTTTACTGATATGCCTACAGTTGAGGATAATGAAAATTTCTGGAAGGGATTAAAGGCTGCCATTCTCTCAGCAATAGGACCTCCAGGTGCTACTGTGATTTATAAATATTAATCGGATTCACATTCCCAAATGGCTTAGTGTTCAGATTTGATTTTTTTCAATTTCCAGGCCTTGAAATAGATTATGCAGATCTTACGAATCTGCTATTCCCTGCCCAGTGAGAACCGTAGAAGAAGAGTAAAATAGCTACAGAACATGCTAGGTACAGCTGATCTATCAGAAACTCTCCACTCATTTAGTACCAATTGCCAGGATAGAGGGGGACCAGTGTTGCCAGCCTGACACCCACACAAATATGTCCCACCAATACACTAGCTGTCCTCCTGGAGGCACAATGTATTCCTTCCCCCATAGCACTTATCAGTTGCAGCAAATAAATAATCTACTCTTCAGTGTTTTTTTCCGGAAATTAAACGTTAAAGGTCTAGAAAACATGTCCTGTGAAACAAGATGGAAAAAATGGGTTTATATAGTCTGCAAAAGAGGTAACTGAGAGAGGACATGATAACCATTTTCAAGTACATGAAAGGTTGTTACAAGGAGGGAGAAAAGTTGTTCTTCTTTATCTATGAGGATAGGACAAGAACCAATGGGCTTAAACTGTAGCCAGGGAGATTTTAGAATAGACTATATGGAGCTATACCTATCTCATAGAGCTGGAAGGGACCTTGAGAGATCATCAGGTCCAGTCTGCTGCCCTCACAGCAGGATCAAATACCATCCCTGATAGATTTGCCCCAGATCCCTAAATGGCCCCCTCAAGGATTGAACTCACAAGCCTGGGTTTAGCAGGCCAATGTTCAAACCACTCCCCAAATGGATGGACATTAGGAAAAACTTCCTGCCATGGAGGTTAAGCGTTGGAATAAATGGCTTAAGAAGGTTGTGGAATCTTTATAATTGGAGAGTTTTCAGAGCAATTCAGAACACCACCTGTCTAAATAATCCTTAGTCCTGCCATGACTAAGGTCCCTTCCAGTGATATGATTATCTGATTGCGGGCAGAAAATAAAAAACACTCAAAAGATTAAGGGCTTTATGTGCAAATACTGACTGAATCCAGCAAAACAACATTTTTCAATAGAAGTCTTCTGTAGGGAACGAGCAAATAACTACCCTGTCCTCTCTTAAGGGGTCCTATGCAGCCTTCTTGACCTCGGGCATTACACTTCTCTGAGTGGAATAAGGCTCTAGGTTGGAGATTGGCCTCGCTTCCCAGTCTGAACTGATAAAAGCATCGGGAGGCTTGGAAGTATAACCCATGCTAAAATGATGTGGCTGTTTGTCTTCCTCTGCTGGCAAAAAACAGTTGTGAAGCTTTGTGAGTCTGGTACATCCTCTAATCCTGTGGCTCCGGATTTTTTTTTTTTTTTTTTTTTTTTGCACTGTGGCTTCTCACAGCTAAATACTGTGGTCTTTTAACCAATTCAAGACACTAGATTAAAAAAGTCAGGCCACCAGATTCAAGAGGCACAGTAGAGTTTGGATGACTTTGGAAAGCTGTTCAGCTTTAAATGGTTTGTCATAATATGATCTACTCTGGGTTTTTGAAACTATAATTTGAAAAAGCAGATTTTTTTGGCATGCTCAGACACAGCCTAAGATTTTAGTGAGAAGAATGGGCTCTTGTAAATAAAAGTTCTTTAGCTCTTGTACTTGCTTGGACAAATGTCCTGACCCAGATGCTGAGCCATGTGGGCTTTGTGAGAGGATGGGTCATGTGTGACCTGGTACCTGACTGAGCCACATGTGGAGATGAGTAATTGCTGTGTTAGGCTACAGCCAATACCCAAGCCAGCAGCTGGTCTAGTGACTCTCAGGACAGGTATAAAAACCTCACAGAAGGAACACCAGTTCATGCTGCACTAATGCATGGCATGGCTTGGAATGCTTGATAGCGGTACCAGACTCCCCAACCCCTAGCCTGCTCCATCCCTGCTCTTTCTTATAATCCAGCCTTGTCCTTACTTCTGCTCTTGCTCCAGCCTAGCTCCCAACTCCCTTCTGACTTCTGCCAACTGCGACCACTCTGAATTAGTCTTAACTGTCATTGTTCCAACCAGTAGGCATGACTATGCTCCCTTGGGGTTCTGGTGCTATCACTGGATTCAGCAAGCTGCAGCGCTAAATACTTAGTCATCTTAACTTGTTCTAGCCACTAATTCTAGATATGAGCCATAAAATATACCCATCACTCTATTGTTGGCCTTTTCCCCTTTTCCATCCAGCTGGATTGGAATCTTTACCAGCTTCTCCTGCTCATTGTATGCTGCATTGTAGGCTTAGCACTTAAATTTCAAAGATGCACCTGTCTCTCCTTCACTCCACTTCTTTGATCTGCTGGTGCTGCAGCTGCCACAGGCAGGAATCTCTCTTTGCCCTTTGCTCCAGCAGAAGGTTTGCTGCAGAGGTTTCCTGCTAAATGCTCCCCCAGCAGGGAAGCTCTTTTCTGGAGGCTCAGCACCTGCAGCGTCAGTAGCAGTGTAGGATGCAGACCCTATAGATAAGATGCAAGTTATTTTCTAAGCCTAGAAAATAGTCTTATTAATTGAAAAAACAAAAGTAGGAAAATAAATTAATCATAGCTCCCTCATGCACATGTAGAGAGCCACGGCTCACAGGTCAGGAAGCACTGCTCTAAACAAATGGTTTAGTCCTTTTGCTCGACCAGTCTAGGCCAGTGAAGGGTAACCTAGGCTAGGGACCACTTGAGTGGCCTTCCTTCATGTCAGTGGGCCACAAGATTGTCGTAACCAAGATAGTCTCCTGGGAGAGGCTAGTTTTGCTAACTGCACTTGTGTAGCTAGAATTTGCAGGGTGTGAATCATAACTGCACTTTGGATGCAGAGGGAGTGCATGCACGGCTCTCACAATGTTGTATGCAATCAGCATTCAGCTCACTTCATGTGCCTTTGCTTTACATGCGTGTCACTTTTGTAATAACTTTAGGAAAAAAACTATGCAGGCAAAAAGCATCAGAATCTGGCAACTTTGTGCATGGGCAACACTAAACAAAACATCTCATGAGCTACATATAGAACCCCAATGGACCAGAGATTATTGCCCACCATTGATGTAGGCTCATGTTTTTAGGGATTGGACCCTATGAACTATAATGGGTTGTGGGAAGGGGAGATGTTCAGAAGGATTTAATTTTTATGATGAATTTCAAAGCTTAACATAGTATCACACTGGTCAGTTTACATCTGTATAGTAAGGCTTTAATGGATGGAATTGGAACAGTTACACACTGTGCCAAAGGCCTGTTAACTGTGAATGGAGATTCTGCTTTAGCTCATGTGGGGGCATTTGTTTCTGGAACATGCTTAAAATTCTAGACTAGCCCTCTGAGCTTTATTGATCCTGTCTGCACTGCATGCATATCTGCCTGGCAATGAGCTCCCAAAGTCCTAATGATTGATTAGCTGGAGAGGAGTCTCTTGAGTTGTTACAAAGGCCTACTCAGAAATCTGGAGATGTTGTGCCCAGGACGTTCAAACTGTGATTGCCTTTGGGAAGAGGATTCATGGAGGAAATGGCAGCCCCCACAAGGAATAAAAGGTGAGTTGTTCAAAGATAGACATTTGTGTAATATCTCATGAGGAGAGTTGTGAATTCTCTCAGACCGAATGCATTGGGACGCCAATGTCGCAAATGGTGCCTGGTCCATCTGGCAGAGTTGGCAACCCTACTCCTGAGTAGAAGATGCTCAGTATGCTCTTTCCTGTGTGGAAGACACGTGAGCTTCTTGTCTTTAAACTGCTAGACTGGATCCTGACTGCATTTTCCTTTTAAAATCCATCAGTTTGTCCAAAACCCACAAACCACTCTTCATGCAACAATTACAAGAGCCAGCTTGAAGAATATCAAAGAGAGCACCAGTAAATGGTAAGACATGATTCTCTGATTACCTAACAAATCCCAGTAAGGAACTATTCTATGTTGTGGGCAGGATAACTATTGGCTCCTGAATCTTACACAGTGTTGGATTCTGGACTTGCAGAATTCCTTCAGGCCAGGAACAACCCATCTCATTGTGTGGCCCCATGATTTTGTTTATTTTGTAAGTATCCCACCTGGATGTGGTGTTGCGATCTGAGACCTACAAGACAAGCTGGGAGAAAGTGAATTTCTTTCTCTCTGTATGTATGTATGTATGTATTTCTTGGGTTGGGCTACCCTCCTCCCACTGCTGTGTATCGCTAGAGGGATGAAGTATGGGAAGTACCCCCCTGCTCAAGGAAAGGTATGCAGTTCTTGTAGCTGAGGCACTGGGCTGGGATCCTCTAGCTCTGACAGCCCTGTGCTGGCACAGACTGCCTTCTTCCCTGGGTCAGGTCACTGGATCTCCCTGTGGAGAGGTAAGCTGCACCGGCTGCCCTAAGGGCCGGGCACTGTCTCTTACTTGCTGTGTGTGCAGTGCCTCACATAGCGGGGCCTCAGGGAGCCAGGAGATCAGAGCCTCCCTCCTCCACCCGTACTCTGCGTTCATGATAGGCAAACAATGGGCAAGCTGCCTGTCCTGTAGGGCCCCAGTGCCAGCCCCTACCTCCGCCCTAGCAGGCGTCTCTGCGTTGCCATGGAGCCCCGGCCTGCACCAAAGCTCCCTGCTGCAGGGTTGGCTGCCCTGGTTGCTATGGGAACAAAGATAACAGGCAGGCACTGGCAGCCAGAGGGTGAGGCTGTGGGGTTGCTGAACCCACTGCAGCAACAGGAACTGACCATGTAAGTGTCCAGCCATGCTGTTGGGGAGACCACCAGTCCTCTCTGCAGGGATGCCAGGGAGGGGGGCCGAGCTCCAGAGAGCCAGGCCCCACTTTGCAGGGCATGCCGGGGATTGCTCAGCACAGAAATGATGGGGGGTGGGAGGGCAGAGCTCTGAGGACCTGGGCCCCACTCTGCAGGAAATACCAGGGAGGGCTCAGCGTGGGGGTAGGGGGTAGAGCTCTGGGGAGCAGAGCCCTGTTC